TGAGGTTGGGGTTTGGCCTGAGGTATGGTGTGGGTGGCCTCGGGTTGGGGTGTGGATTGAGGTTGGGGTTGAGGCTGAGGTATGGTGTGGGTGGCCTCGGGTTGGGGTGTGGATTGAGGTTGGGGTTGAGGCTGAGGTATGGTGTGGGTGGCCTCGGGTTGGGGTGTGGATTGAGGTTGGGGTGGGTATGGGGTGGCCTGGGGTTGGAATGGGTATGGGGTGGCCTGGGGTTGGAATGGGTATGGGTATGGGGTGGCCTGGGGTTGGAATGGGTATGGGGTGGCCTGGGGTTGGAATGGGTATGGGTATGGGGTGGCCTGGGGTTGGAATGGGTATGGAGTGGCCTGGGGTTGGGGGAAGGGTTGGTATGGGAATTGAGGATGGGGTAGGTATGGGAATTGAGGATGGGGTAGGTTTTGTTGTAGTGACGGATGAGGTGTACCTAGGTGTTGTGGGTGCTGTGGTATTGGTGTTATGTTGGGTAGTTCCTGCTGTTGGTGTGGTTGTTCATGTTCCCGTTGAACGGGTTGCTGTTCTCTACCGAGCGAAGTGGGACGTCCTGCCATACTAACTGAGGCCCCCTGTCTACCCTGCTGGCATGGCGTCGATGTTATTTGTGGGGGAACCCAAGACGGCTCTCCCCACTCATGGGACGACTCCTCGCAAGACTCCCCACTCATGTCAATAATAGTATCGCTACCTGAGCGATCCCCAGTGGTGTCGGAAGAGGTTCTATCCTCTACACTCCCATTCCCACTGGTCCCTACTGACTGGTCATTATCAGGGTTAAACATTTTCTGTGATTCCTGGTGTGCCACGTCTCTTCTAAACTACCCTTTAGTACACCCTCGACCCGAACTCACTACAACCGTGATCTTACACAAATAAAAAAAAATCACAACTCTATTCTAAGAGAAAACTACTAGATTCCCAAAATAGGAAATACAACGATTTATCGAGAGAATCGCTGAAGTGAATCCAATGAATGAGTGTCTGCCCCGCACTCGTGTCTGCCCGTGAAATATCCCGCAGTTCTATTGCTGAAACCTAAGTCCTTTACGTTAAAAAAATTAAAGAATCTAATTTATATAAAACAATTTAATTGATAACGCAACTAACGCACAGCACTCGTGATGGATTAATAAAGAATATTTACTGTACTTGAATACTAAACGCGCTTGAAGTGAGCAGCGTGGCCACTGATGACTGATGGAGCGGGACCAGCTGCGCTGAAAAAAAAACTAAGTCCCGCGCTTTTTCGCTTAAACGCTGAAAAATCAAAATTTTTGTTCTGAAGGAAAATAACTAGTTTTACGTTAATAAACCGCTCTAGCGATTAATATAGACACCCAGGACCTATAAATGCTTACTAAAAATTGAATTTTTATCAAAAACTGCGTTTTTACTCAATTGCTGGACTCTGCCAATTTTTCTGACTTTTCTGAGGGAAAAAAAATTTCTATCACCCCAAATACCACAAAAACTCCTTTAATTCACAAAAATTTGGGTTTCTCGTTCCCAGATATAAATACGTTGTTATTTACTACTGACGTTGTATGCAGAACAATACTGACACTTCGGGCGGTTTCAACACTCACTAATTCGATTTTTCGTCAAAATCCGAGATTTTCACCTCAAATGGACTCTGACAAAATTACGACACGATTTTCTCGAAAAATAACTAAATTCGGCAAAAATGTAATTATCACTGTTTAATGCTTACGGACAGAATTACGTCCCTTGCGCGCACTAGAGAGTAATACTGACTCTAGGATATACACGAAACCTGAAAATTAGAATTTCCGCCAAAAAGTCAGATTCTAGCCCAAGCTGGACTTAGAAAATTTTTCACCTACGTTTCTACTGAAAACAGAATTCTAAGTCTACAAACACAATTCTACCGTCTTACTGGTAAAAACTATGAGCTATCACTCGCATCGACTGGAGAATCCTAATGACGCCCAGATCATACACGTGACCCACGAATACAAATTAATTACCGTTAACGACTTTCCGACATCGACTTAGCCGAAAACTTATCCCAAAATACTTAGAAATATTCCATGGACAAATAACATTTACACGCAACTTACTATTCCTTAAACTCCTTCACTTATCTATCGTGACCGACATATAGCCCTAAGTCCAGAGGATTAACTACACTCTAGCAACAACGCCTCTGACTTAGACTAATACAACAGGGAATAACAAACTTAACGTACGCACTTAGCCTAATATGCAAGAAAACGCTAAACACTTGGGAAAAATTTTAACCGGGGATTGAATTTAGGGGAAAAAATTAATCTAGAACAACGCAAATAAACGGAAAATTACTTTATAAATTGAAGTATACTTAATTAAAAAAATGCACTCGACTTAAACTTATAATTGTTCCTACCGGCTCGCCGTACCACACCTAGCCTAGAGGCCACACCATCTAGGTTCCAACAGAGCGACACGCAGCTTTCAGCAACAATTATGACTAGGGACGACTCAACCTCCACTAAGTGTGCGATCACTTAGTTGTTGAATCGCTGCTAGGTAGTTTACTAGTCCGTCCCTCGGAGGCCGCAACGCCCTTCACGGATTACGTTTTTCCTTAGCGTTTTGGGTCGTCTAATAACGCCCTCGGACTATCTACTGGCGTCCCACAGATATATCCGCCCCCGACAGCCCTCAAGGAACTGCTGTTGAGAGTATGGCGGCTCCCAACACCTCTGAATTAATTGCAATGGGTCGAGTATGGTACCCAGTCCAATCAACTCGGAGCGGTCTCCTTTTCAATAAATCTAATTTTAATAGCCTAATCTTACTAACTAACCTTAATCATATCAGCCCGCATGACCCAAGATTCGCCAATCCCCACTCAAACGCACTTGTGGGGCGCACTGCTAATCCTGGCCCGCGGCTGTCTCCTTAGCATCCGCGCACGTGTTCGAACGGCTAGACGCGTGAGCCTTTCAACAATTTCAAACAAAATTGTTGAAACCACCGCTGTGCACCATTGTAACACGGGTTAGGGTCCTCTCTCTTTACTTCCTTCTTTCTACTCCCTCTACCCGTATTCTTACTTTTATTTCTAAACCAAGGGACTCCAAAACTTTTACCAAAGCCAACTCCACGCCACGTGGTCCTAAGACGATTGACCGACTTAGGATTCTACACCCAGTATGACGTGACCTAAGCTCTGAACAAAACCCTAGAGTCACCTCTGCTGCCACCACCAGACCAGTAATACAAGAGCAATGATCGAGGTCTGGATCGATCACGCTAATTAATCAACCTAGGGGCTTGATCCCCACTATAAACGATGACCTTGAGTGTGGAATAAATTACACGGTAATGATAATTCCGATTCGATGTTAGAATCGGCGCCCAATGCAACTCCGCCTCGTGTGGACCACGTGACCAGGACAAGTATACACATAAAACACATGGAAACAATAAAATGCAAATTAATAACAAATTTAATTTATTACAAGAAAACTAAAACAAAATCTAAATGTGTTCACTCCCTATCACTTTAACACTCCCTACTTGACCTGAATGGCAAATGAGAAGACTATTTCTATACTTAACAATAGCAACTATACCTTGGGCGACCAGCTAGATGTCGTGGCTGGTCTAGGGGAGAGGTAAGATGTTTGACCTCTCCTAGCTGCCTCCGTGACCACACTGACTCTCTCTTGTCTGGTCTACCCCAGACTAGAACATTGTATTGTTCCGCATCGCTTACCCAGTTACTAGCAAGGTTTAAGTTATAACAATTAAACTCGGTTGTACTTAATTGATCCAGACTGGTTGAATTATTTTACTGAAATAAATTACACAAGCCTCTAACGGCAGAGCTGTTCCCGATCACAAAAATGGTTATTAAAACTTTGAGAAATATTAGACATGTCAACCCTGCTGACCTATGACCGCCGGTCACTCCGCCTTAAAAGTTAGATCCGATTCGTGACGTCACTGATGGTGACTTAAACTCAATAATTAGAATACTCTTGATATTGTATCCAGTACTATTATACAATACAATTTTAATGCAAAATGAATAAAGGCTAATTTTCTTTAATTTACTGAATACTATAGGATGGTTCATTATACGCAGTTATGAACAACGCGTCGGTTATTTCCACCGCGAATCCCCCTGGGGGTCAGGTCACCATGCGGCTCAGCTTCCCATTCTCTTTTGTCGATAAACCACTCTGGATAATTCTCACAACAGCCTAGTTTGTTACACAACTTTCATATACTCGAGTACGAATGCCAAACAGTGTTTATTAAAACATACAAGTAAATTAATGAATTAGAACTACTTTATATATTGTCGATAACTTCAACTTCAATTATCTCTAAAACTAGAGTTTCAACAGTGAGTCAGCTTCAAAAAATCCAGTTTCTGTCCGATTTTCACCATTTTTACATATAATGTACACAGGTGTCTGTTCTACAATCATATTAGAAAGGATTTTTCATAAACTTTATACGTTTCGAGTTATAAATTTTGTTGTCTTAATTTGGTGCAGATTTCAAATGCCATATTGAAGATTTTTTTTACAGTAAACTAAATTGAAAATCTATATTCTAATTGTATTAAAATGAAGATCATATACTATTCTGGGAGGATAATAACACTTAATAAACAATTGATGATATTTAATATTATTTCAACTGATCTGAAAATTTGAAAATTTCAATATTAAATTTTATATTTATTTTTAATTTTCTTGGTTTTCAAGTTTCCTTGGTGATCATTTAGACAAAGTTGGAGTTTTTGTCTAGTAGATTATGTGCAAAAAATTGTAAAGCGTTAGAACAAATCTGAAAAATTTAACTAATTGTGCCATCGTGTTGTCGTATACATACGCCATGCGCAGTTTAATGGTTAATACCTCAAAAACGTATTTCAATTTCAATTCAATTCTCCAAAGTTAAAATAGGAGTAAGCTTTAGTTGGAATTTGTAAACACATTTGGTGCTGATAACTGATGACTTTACAGGATGTATTGTGAGGTCGAGCGTGACGTCGGAGTGGAGGTGGTCGGAGGCCCACATCAGTGTCTGGTCGCCCTCTGGCAGTCACAACCATACCATCCTCACTATCCAAGTCAACCTGGGTGATGGCTACCCAGAGAATTATGACACCATTACTTTCACTACAAACAACATTAGTTTCACTCGCATCAGTGCCCATATATATAAAGAATCTACAACACGCGCCCTGCCTGCAGCTGTGAGGCCCGGGTGGCAGGAGTTGATCTTCAGAGTGACGACGCAGTATGAAGTAGTCTCCCCCGCCATCAACACCACATTCAACAACACCAGATCTCAACACTTGCCCATCAGGAGCATTACGTTTACCGGCAGCAACCTCACACTCGACTGTCATGAAAGTGAGTATCACACAACACATGCCCATGTAGGACACGGAACATCGACCACATGCCCATGTTGGACACGGAACATCGTCCTTATGCCCATGTTGGACACGGAATACCGTCCTCATGCCCATGTTGGACACGGAATACCGTCCTCATGCCCATGTTGGGCACGGAACATCGTCCTCATGCCCATGTTGGACACGGAACACCATCCTCATGCCCATGTTGGACACGGAACATCGTCCTCATGCCCATGTTGGACACGTACCCATCTAGTGGGCGAGGCCCATGACCACTCACTAAATCAGTACAGGGCCCAATACCGCTCACTAAGGGGGTACGGGGTTCACTGCTGCTCACTAAATGGGTGTGGGGGGCCCACTACCACCCCTTAAATGGGAACGGACCACCCCCTAAATGGGGACGGACCCCTACCGCTCATTTGATGGGTAATCGTACGTCAGGAATATGAAGCTGGTTGGGGATTTAAACCCAAAAGGGCGCTCTGATTGTTGCACCAGACTCTTACTTGCGTACAGGCAGACAGATCTGTCTGGTCTAGTTGTTGACAGCCAGGCCGATCTGTTGATCAGCCAGACCAATCTGATCTGTCCGATCTGTCAGGTCTGGTAGCTGAGTGGACAGCGCGCAGGACTCGTAATTGTGTGGCCCGGGTTCGATTCCCGGCCCAAGCAGAAACAAATGGGCAAAGTTTCTTTCACCTTGAAGGCCCCTGTTACCTAGCAGTAAATAGGTACCTGGGAGTTAGACAGCTGTTACAGAGCTGGTGTGAGTGTTACAGGGGGTGGGTGTGAGGGGAAAAAAATAGTAGTAACAGTTGATTGACAGTTGAGAGGCGGGCCGAAAGAGCAAAGCTCAACCCCCGCAAGCACAACTAGGTGAATACAGAGTCCTCAACAGTTCTATCTGATAGAACAACAGCCGACCTCAGCAACCAGTCCCACTACCGTCGACCAGCAATGGACACTGGAGTGACCACTACCACTCACAGGATGGGTATGAGGTCCACTACCACTCACAGGATGGGTATGGGGTTCACTACCACTCACAGGATGGGTATGGGGTTCACTACCACTCACAGGATTGGTATGGGGTCCACTACCACTCTCAGGATGGGTATGGGGTCCACTGCCACTCACAGCATGGGTATGGGGTCCACTGCCACTCACAGGATGGGTATGGGGTCCACTGCCACTCACAGGATGGGTATGGGGTCCACTGCCACTCACAGGATGGGTATGGGGTCCACTACCACTCACAGGATGGGTATGGGGTCCACTACCACTCACAGCATGGGTATGGGGTCCACTGCCACTCACAGGATGGGTATGGGGTCCACTACCACTCACAAAATTGGTATGGGGTCCACTACCACTCTCAGGATGGGTATGTGGTCCACTACCACTCACAGGATGGATATGGGGTCCACTACCACTCACAGGATGGGTATGGGGTCCACTATCACTCACAGGATGGGTATGGGGTCCACTACCACTCACAGGATAGGTATGGGGTCCACTACCACTCACAGGATGGGTATGGGGTCCACTACCACTCACAGGATAGGTATGGGGTCCACTACCACTCACAGGATGGGTATGGGGACCACTACCACTCACAGGATGGGTATGGGGACCACTACCACTCACAGGATGGGTATGGGGTCCACTACCACTCACAGGATGGGTATGGGGTCCACTACCACTCACAGGATGGGTATGGGGACCACTACCACTCACAGGATGGGTATGGGGACCACTACCACTCACAGGATGGGTACGGAAGCATAGTACTTGAAATAAACTATGTCTAACGAACTAATCAGTGTCAACATTATCGACTTATATAATGTCACATCCTTTCGCAAAACTATATTATATACATTTTTATGCTCTCAACTTTGTAAGTGTTTTAGCAGTTCTCTAAAGTCTTCACCAGTTTATAATGGGCCTCATATGTGTATTATCTGAAATTTGTTTTTATACAGAGCTAGGTTAACCCTAACCTCTTGCTGGAAATGTTAACTATGGTTAACTCTGACCATTGTTGGTGAATGTCTTAAGGCTTAGTTAACAGAACATGTTACTGGCAGAGGTGCGGGTGTGGAGGGTGGACGGGAAGCCGGTGGTGGTGCCTCTAGACAGCTCTCTACACTACTGGATCACCACCTACGCGAAGACAGAGTCGTCCCCAAGATTAACGCTGGGAGAGAGGACCATTAATCTGGGCTGGGACCACAATAGCCTGACCACACTGGGACGCAACACGGCTCCTCTTCCTCCCTTCACTCAACATGTCTTCACATTGTCGTGTGGAACTGACCGCGTCATCTACTGTGACGTCATGGTAACTAGATGGAATTTTTGGTTTAAAATTAATTTACGGAACGAGTGCATTAAAATGGTTGATATATTGTAATCACAGAATTATGGATGAGTGTTGATTTCAGGAATCTATCGCAACAATATAATGTTACCTTCACCCAAGCCGGTAAAGAGCCGGTCGGCCGAGCGGACAACACGCTGGACTTGTGATCCTGTGGTCCTGGGTTCGATCCCAGACGCCGGCGAGAAACAATGGGGCAGAGATTCTTTCACCCTATGCCCCTGTTACCTAGCAGTAAAATAGGTACCTGGGTGTTAGTCAGCTGTCACGGGCTGCTTCCTAGGGGTGGAGGCCTGGTCGAGAACCGGGCCGCGGGGACACTAAAGCCCCGAAATCATCTCAAGATAACCTCAAGATAACCTTACGAGAAAAGTTGTATTGAATCAGTATTGAAAGGTGCTTTTTTATTAATATATTAGGTACATCTGCATTAGTGCAGCTGCCCTAGACTATCTGAAGTGGAGTACAGTGTGTCAAAAAGCTAGCTACGTGGTGCTAAAAAAATCCCCATCACACAGGATGGTTAGTCATACAGAGACATGTGATGAGTAGTCTACACTGGCAGACTCTGGGAGCATTATGAGGATATTATCAACACAAGAGTGAATAAGGCAGCAGTGGTAATACAAGTCCCCATCTCGCAGGATGGTTAGTCATACAGAGCCATGTGTTCAGTAGCCGGCACTGGCAAATTTTGGGTACACTGTGAGGATATCTTCAAGAATAAGAGAGTGAATAAAGTAATTACAAAGCTCCAGGTACCTCATGCCAACTGGTCTGAAAGGTCTATTAACTGGGCATTCAGTGATATAGTGTGGGAGATCATGCCGCAGTTCCTGCTCACAGAGTTTGCACCTGGAGTGCTCAGGATTGGGAGATCCGTCACCTGTAGCCACCTGCCACAGGTAACGGTAACTCAACCATATTGTTTGTAAACGTCACTGCGGGAGTGTTCCTATATATGACAGCTAAGATATTTTCGGCCTTAAGAAAATGTACTTTCATTTGCAGATAATTCAATTTCTTTCTTTATTATGCACCCCATACCCATCCCGTGGGCGGTGGTGGAAAGGGTTCAAACACAATGGGTTCAGGAACTGAACTCCATAGTTCGTTTAGTTAAGAAAGTGACAACCTTTTGAAGCTAGTTACATAATTGTTAATGTTACATACGCATGTGCACATATATACAATCATTTATAAACATATACATATCAATAATATTTTTATATCACAAGTGATTCAACAAGAGGCTGACAGTGTTATGAATCCCAGGAAGCCTAATGAGGTAGATCTGCCTTGTGAGTTAATCCTCACCTGACTAGATTAATAAGGGAATTAAACCAAGCAAACGTCAGTAATTATGATTATGGAGAAGGAAAGTATCTTAAGGACACGAGGTAAGATAAGATGTCGACAGTATCTTACGAGACGTGACGAGAGCGGAGATCTTAAACGGTCACTTCAGTCATGAGAGTCGACAGGGACGGACGTATGTCGTTGCCTTCTATGAAGAAGGAAGTTTGTAGCTCATGGGTGAAGAGTTTGAGAGAAGACTATGCGATCAACGTCGTGAGGAAGCGTCGAGGACGACGTGTGACGTATCTCTGTTATCGTGGTAACGGTATAGGGGCGACCTGAAGCCTATTGGGTGTGGTATAGGGGCGGCCTGAAGCCTATTGGGTGTGGTATAGGGGCGGCCTGAAGCCTATTGAGTGTGGTATAGGGGCGGCCTGAAGCCTATTGGGTGTGGTATAGGGGCGGCCTGAAGCCTATTGGGTGTGGTATAGGGGCGGCCTGAAGCCTATTGGGTGTGGTATAGGGGCGGCCTGAAGCCTATTGGGTGTGGTATAGGGGCGGCCTGAAGCCTATTGGGTGGTCATACCTGTGTGGACCCGACTGTGTGAAAACCTTTTAAGTGGATAAATTGAGCAGGTGTTCCCGTGTGGAAATTGTTATGCGACTTTTCACGCTCAAGTATGGACAGTTAGGGGCCACGAGTGGCACGTCCAAGAGAAATTTGTGGACGACCTGGTAAGACGCCATATTTGTGTGTCATCGAAGAGGCGTCGACACACCAACCTTTAGCAGCAGCAGCCCAAAATACTGCACTATACAGCTTGTAATAATTTGATCGTGTGCCCAGCGACCGTATAGGTCGTTTGTGAATGTAGGTTTGAGAGTTTGTGAAAATAATAAGATAAAATGAGTTTGAGATGATTTGACATTATGGAGGTGGGAGCGACACATGTTTGCTCGCCTGATGCCAGTGTACGACTGGGGAAGGGAGTGAGGGATATGTCAGGGGAAAGCGCCAAGCCATTACAACTGTATAGCACTTTGAAGGGGTCAGGATAAGGATTTGGGATGGGACGGAGGGAAGGAATGGTGCCCAACCACCCAGTGGAGGAGGAATTCGGGATGGTCGCGCCCAAAAGTAGGGGAGGACCCCCGTAGTGATGTGTAGTACATCGCAAGGTGAAATTTAATGTAAATATGTATGTTACTTATGTTTTGATAGAATAAGTTGTTATTATTGAATGGTAATGGGATTACAGGTTTGTACAGCGGAAGTCAATGTGTGTGGTGACGTTTGTATTGTGGAACTACATGTGTATGATGGAGCTTGTGTAGTGGACCTACATGTATAGTGTGAAGTCTGTGTAGAGGAACTTCGCATGTATGAAGAAGCCTATGTAGTGGAACTTCATGTAGCAGTGGTACCTATTGGACAGGAGTCATCGCTGATGAATGAAGCAGCGACATGAGAGCTTCAAGAGTACCTACTTGATTCAAGAACCCATTGATAAATGGACTTGATAATGATTTTATAAACGTAATACAGAGATTAATATGAACATCATTGTTGTCCATATATTTTGCACTGTTGCATTAATATTTTCTCCATTGAGTTAAAGTATATTCAAGTTGCCTAGCCCAGACGGTGAGAGGGGGGCAAGAGATTGCTAGTGAAGATTAAAGCAGCATCCTAGTGAACTGTGTTTGTTGGAGTGTTGGTATTATATACGCGTGATGCTCATTTGTTGGATTTGATGATAATATGCTGTTATTTCTTTATTCTTTTTATTTTTTGTAATAAATGTTTGTCTGTAAACAACTTGTCTTTGCACTCGTCCCGGCGAGGAATTTCTAGAATGAGAGAGAGAGAGAGAAACAGTTGCAGGCCGGTCGACAGCAGACATAATATCATAAGGGGGGAACTGGAAGGATGTCATCCCAAAGCAAGGAGAGTGAGGGTAATACACAGTGGCTCAGCCGGGTGTGTAGTCATGACAATGGACCAGATTTGAGCAGAGTCCCCCAAATAAGGTGACGTTGAGCCCCTTCTCCGTATTTAAGATCATTATTGAGTGATTCTCCAGTGTGCACTCTAGTGTTGATTGATTGCAGTAGTAGTTATTATATTATTTTATCAGGGGGGGAGGTGGTCTCTGATGATTAAAAATTAGTACCCCCTTCCTCCTGATAAGTCACTATACAAGGCACTTTACAGTTATATAGTCTTGCTCCACACCCACCCAACTGGGCGGCAGCTTTACAGTCTTGTGCTCCACACCCACCCAACTGGGCGGCAGCTTTACAGTCATGTGCTCCACACCCACCCAACTGGGCGGCAGCTTTACAGTCTTGTGCTCCACACCCACCCAACTGGGCGGCAGCTTTACAGTCTTGTGCTCCACACCCACCCAACTGGGCGGCAGCTTTACAGTCATGTGCTCCACACCCACCCAACTGGGCGGCAGCTTTACAGTCATGTGCTCCACACCCACCCAACTGGGCGGCAGCTTTACAGTCATGTGCTCCACACCCACCCAACTGGGCGGCAGCTTTACAGTCATGTGCTCCACACCCACCCAACTGGGCGGCAGCTTTACAGTCATGTGCTCCACACCCACCCAACTGGGCGGCAGCTTTACAGTCATGTGCATGCATTACTTACAGTAAGCAAATTTTGGATACTTCGCTAGGATTCTCTGCAGCACATCATTATGAATGAAATACTTACACATTTCTTGGACACCATTGATGGTGTTTCTGTGGCTTCCGCGATTTTATCACATTCTATTATATAATGGCGCAAAGTATGTATTGATAGGGGGGCCTCGTAGCCTGGTGGATAGCGCGCAGGACTCGTAATTCTGTGGCGCGGGTTCGATTCCCGCACGAGGCAGAAACAAATCGGCAAAGTTTCTTTCACCCTGAATGCCCCTGTTACCTAGCAGTAAATAGGTACCTGGGAGTTAGTCAGCTGTCACGGGCTGCTTCCTGGGGGTGGAGGCCTGGTCGAGGACCGGGCCGCGGGGACACTAAAAGCCCCGAAATCATCTCAAGATAACCTCAAGATAGAAATGATCTGGCCTGAATGAAACATTAGCCAGATTAGCGAGTTAGGATTTCAACTTTTGTGGCAGGCAAATCGGCAGCACGGAGCCTGGGGTCTGTGTCCCCCGGATACATAGATTGGAGACCCGGGAGCTGCTTGTTTCCTCATTTACTAAGGGTTTTATTATTATTATTATTATTATTATTATTATTATTATTATTATTTTCTACGCTGAGTGCGGGACACTTTCCCCGCGAGTGCAGGAAGTGGACAGTGGCACTGATGTGTGTGTGGGAGGGGGGGGGGTGCTGCCACACTACACTGATAAAATCCCACATCTTCCGTCTCTCTTCCCCTATTTTCCCTTATATTCCCCCGCTCCTCCTTCTCACCCCGTCTCCTAAACTTTCCCCTATCACACCATCTCTTCTTCCCTCTTTCACTTCTCCCCTTCTTTAACCTCTCCCCATTCCCCCTCCCCCCCACGTCTCCCCCTCCCCACGTCTTCCCTTTCTCTCTCCCTCTCTGTCATCTCTCCCCCTTTCCTCCCCTCTTTCATCTCTTCCCCTTCTCTTCCACCTCCACTTTCACCTTCCCTTTCCCCCACTTCTCGCCT